ACAGCATCATGGGATTGTTGAGATCTCCCTTGTGACCTGAGGCCAAAATGGAAGTATGTCTTGGAGTGTTATTGCTGGCCTGTAGGCAGGAGAACTAGGCCTACTCAAATGATTTTTCCCTAGAATTATGTAGCATTGCTCCCAACAGGGTGGGACATTCTGTAGACATCTAAGTCCATTTGGTCAAGAGTTTGGTTGAGTTCTAGTGTTTCATTGTTGATTTTTTGTCTAGATGATCTGTCTATTTGTGACAGTGGGGTGTTTAGGTCCCCCACTACTATTGTATTAGTGCTTTCTTGATTTTTCATGCCTGTTAATATTTGTTTTATATAGTTAGGTGCACATAGAAACAGCTAATAAACATATGAAAAAATGTTCAATATCACTGGTCATTTGAGAGATGCAAATGAAAACAACACTGAGATTCCACCTCACTGCAGAAAGAATGGCTGCTAGCAAGAAATCAACCAATAACAAATGCTGGTGAGGCTATAGGGAAAAAGGAACCCTTCTCCACTATTGGTGGGAGTGTAGACTGGTGCAACCACTGTGGAAATCAGTGTGGAGATACCTCAAAAACTAGGATTAGAGGTCCCATTTGACCCAGCTATTCCCCTGCTGGGCATCTTCCCAAAAGAATTAAAAGCATCATACCACAGTGATATATGTGCACCCATGTTTACAACGACACAGTTTATAATGGCTAAATCTTGGAAACAGCCCAAATGCCCATCAACTGGTGACTAGATAAAGAAGATGTTTTTTAAAAAAATAGAATGGAGTACTACTCAGCCATAAAGAATAAGCTAGAGACATTTATAGCTAAATGGATGCACATTGAGACCATACTCTTAAGTGAAATAAATAGGACACACGTGTAAATACCAAATAGTTTCTCTGGTGTGAGAAACTGAAAGTGTAAATGAGGATCAAAATGTATAATAGATAATGTGAAATAGAAGCAAAAGGTCCAAAGGGGAAGGAGAAGGGTAAGTGGGGGGAGGGTAGGGGAAAGGGAAAGAGAGAAAAGAAGGAACAAATAGAAACAAAATTTTTGTAAATAGGGCGAGGTGGAGGGGTGGAAGGGAGGGAAGAGGAATGGGGAAAAAACAAGAACCAAGATATATCAGCTGGTGATTTAGCTGTGGCACTGCACCTGCCTCGTGAGTTCGATTCCTGGTACCAAAAAAAAAAAAAAAGGCATATCATGTACAGGTACAAATTTGAGATACCCAGCCTCTTAGTAATGACAGCTGGCAGACCCATACTTGCCGCACCTCACTGCAATGGGCATATGTATGTCTCGGAGTCTCAGCCTCAACCAGCCCTGGACCTCGGCTGAAGGGAGAAAGCCAGCCCAACTGTCCTGTCTGTGGATGTAGCTGACATCAGAACATGAATCACAGATAAAATCTTCTGTGACCCCGCACACAGTGTGGAAAATAGAGCTGGGACACACAAGTATCTCTTCCTGGAAAATGTGTGCCATGGGGGTGTTTGGATGGTACTTGCTGGGGACTGGGCACACACGTGCAGGCTGATCATGCCCATTTACTCTAGGAACTGACAGGCCTTTTACAAGTGAGGGAAAGGGAGCTAATCCATGGAAGGGTTTGTTGGCTGGCTGACTTAGAGGATGCAGAATTTCTAGCCCCTGACCATCCATTCTGGCTGCTGGTGGGCAGTTTGCCCAGGTTCGCCCAGAGGTGTCAGCACACACTCAAGGCCCCACCACCAACCCAGAGATGAAACCCCTGCTTTTCTCTCCTATTCCCTAGGCCTTCTTTCTGCTCTACCACCCACTAGAATGTGACCTCTGCCTCCACCCTTCTACAGAAAGGAAGGAGGGGGAACTGACAAGGTTTGGAAGCTGAGTTTCAAAGGTGAGGGCTAAGCAGGAACTCAGGAAGACAGGCAATCTGCCTGACATGTCCCTGTGTGCACTGCCACCAGGGGGAGCTACTGAGTCCAAAGAGGACTGGCCCCAGGAATGGGAAAGATGAATTCATGTGTGCCTTATAATGCCGGTTGGTTGGAAACAGTCTCAGGAGAGTCACCAGAGGAAACCCAGGGCAGAGATCAAGGATGCTGAGGAGCGGCAAGGGAGGGTAATAGGGAAGGTCAGCGAGCCAGAGGAGGAAAGGCAGCAGTCACTGTAGCCCAGGAAGGGGCTCGCTACTTCCTCCTAAAGGTGGGGACCCCCGTGCGTGTTAGAATGGGTTCTGTTAGAACCCAGAGAGAAGGGTGTTAGGAGGGACATAGGAAATGCTTCTGTGGCTGGGCCTAGCCCACACAGGACCCAGGTGCAGGGCACCATAGGAAAGGGAAACCCAAGCCCAGAGCTCCTGCTTAGAGGTTGGCCTAGACCCCTTTTGGGGAGCAGGCCCACCACAGCAGACCCAGGTGCTGTACTTTATCTGCTCTGAACGGGGCAGCTCTCATCCTTCTCCCGCCCCACTTTCAGGTCCCATCCCAAAGAGAGAGGGCAGACCACAGAAGATGAGAGGTACTTTAATTTGACACTGCTGTGAACAAGGGTGAACAGGGTGCAGAAGCAGGAGAGGAGGCCATCGCTGAAGAAGGGGAGGGAGCCAGCTTGACCCCAGCTCCTGGGCTCCACAGGTATTAGCTGGTGGTCTCCCGTGAAGATGCTGGTTTCAATCTGTCAAGCAGAGAAGAGTCAGGGCCAGCTTGCAGCCCTCCCGAACAGCTGGGACAGTGGGAAGGGGTGTGGTAGGCATATCACTCACTTCAAAGGGTCTGGAACTTATCAGTGAGGGACTGCAGGACCGCTGAAACAGAAACACAACCGGCTGCTCCAGACTCAGATATAGGACCCCATCTCCCTTGCTGCCCCTGCACCCTGACTGCCTTGCAGACCCTGTCCAAACTACCCCGGGGCCAACTTCCCCACCCATCACCTGCATGGAATGTATACAACACAGCAACAGGCACCAGGAGCTCCCAAGTGTTGGGGCAAGGCAAATCCCCCCAGAACTTGTTGAAGGCAAACATGTGTATGATAACAAACACCATGAAAGCCGCACCAAGCAGCACTTAAAGGGAAATGCTCTGGGATCTGCTTGTGTTAGCAGAGCATGTGTGGCGCGGGTGGAGTGGACTGTTCTGTGTGCATACTCCAGCAGTCGATGCAAGGCCCGCTCAGTGCGCTCCCCACTCCCACAGGAATATCTGTCCTGTGACACAGCCTGTACCTATAGCCCAGCCCCATCCCAGGTACCTGCCCCAAGACACTGAGGTCTGTTTCGGTCCCCCGCCCCCGCCCCAGCCTGGGGTTTGTTATACAGTACCTAGTTGCTTTTTGAGGTCATCTATTTCTTTCTGGAGCACAAGGCACTAGTCCAGCAGATAGGGGGGAAAGAGAAATGGTGGGTAATATTCTGGCCTCTTCTCTCCTCATCCTCCCACTCACCCCCAGTCCTTATATCCCCACATATTCCACAGCCCTGTGGGGAGATTGGCTCTGCATCCAAAGAAAAGAAGTGCCCTGTTAGAGAGGTGCAGTATGGGCCAGGGGAGCAGTGCACTCTTCGCACTTACCAGAGAGTACAGGGGGCACCCCAGTCAGTTCAACCTACACTCAAAGCCCACCATCTAGCTGGGGTCTGCATTTCTAGGAGCTGGAGAAAGCATTACCTGGGGACAGCCCTGTGCTCCAGGCAGTGGCTGCTGCCTTTCCAGAACTGGAGCATGCACAGTTGGTTCCTGGTCACCTGAAAGAGAACACAAAATCCAGCTCCCCAGCCTGGGATTGACAGGGTCACATGGGACCTACAGTGAGGCAGCAACCCCCTCTGCTGGCAGTAAATTGCAGTTCCACCAGTCTCTGGGCCTGCCTTCCCTGCCCTCCCCCTCCCCGCAGTGTCGTCCAGCTGCCTCTGTGGCCCCTTAATACTGTGGCTCTGGGTTGGCAGCTGCCAGAGCTGCAGCTACATCTAGGTTGTGGGAGGGGCAATGCAGCAGGACAGGACCCAACAAAAAAGGCTCTGTTCTGCTGAAAGTCTACTTCTGCACTTCACTTGGAGTTGGGGGCATTGCTACAAATCACCCCAAAGCACAAACCCCACATGTAGGACTATGTGGCCTGAGGCAGCCCTACTCATGTCTCATGTCCCGTGGGAACGTCACATGGGTAGGTAGGGAAGCCTGGGTGTGAGGCTGAGCCCCGAAAATAATGGAGGTGGAGGTTTTCCTCCTGCACCCCCTCCCCTCTACTTGTATCAAACCCACAGGACTCACCAGAGAGTACAGGCCCTCTGGGTGGGAGGCCTCCCTGGCTCATGGTCAAAGGCTGGGAGACTGCTGGAACTTGGGGGGCTCTGGTGTCAGCATTACCACTGATGAATTCTCTGCGATGCATGTTCAGGCAACGTGGCCCTTGCCTGTGTGTTGGAAGCTAATGCAAACATTTCTCACTGAGTACGTGTAGTGGCTGGGGTCAGGTGGGAAACAGGAGGGGAATACACAGGTTCATCTCTTCAGCTCCTCTCTTAGCCCTAGGCCAGGAAGCAGAGCTAAGCCAGGGAAGTATGAGGGTATCCAGAAAGCCAGGCCCTCTGCAAGGCAGGGTTTGGGAAGAGCTGGGAGGGAGGAATCTGAAAGCCAGTGAGACTGGACAGGACACCAAAGCTGAGAGGCTCAACCTGTGAACCAGTCGCCCAATCCCAATCAGCAGGCAGCTCTGCTTCCCATCCCAGCCCCTGTCTGGAGAAGGGAGGAGGCAGGAAATACACAGAGTATTGAACAGTGCAGGTACCCACCAGGTGCTCTCTTCATGTCAGACCCTACTACAACGACCCCTGATTCAGCACCCCAAAGACAACCCCTGAGCAAGAGGCAGAAGGAGCTGGGGCAAACCTGTGTAGGCTGGGGGTGGGGGAAAGAGGGGGCGTACTCATTTGGGCCTGCAGGACTGGATCACTATTTGCATCTTTATCTTCTCCAGCCACAGGCTGGGACTCCCTTGCTCTCCTGGCCGAGGATTTCTTCCCAGTGGCCCCCTGGTTGGATGGCTTGGATCCTGAGGGCAGCAAGGAACACCCCTTGGACTTCCCAAGCAGCTGAATGCCCAAGATTGTCGGGAAGGTGACAAGTTCCAGGGGAGTGGCTTTGACTCTCTTCCCCCATGAAGGGAAGGCTCTCCCAAGGATAACTTGAGCCACCACCTGGGGATTTCTTCTCTTGGGATTCCTTCCTAGTTGTGGCCCTGGGCAGGGCCCCTGTAATAGCACCTGCTCCTGGATAGCTGGGTCTGCCCTCTCCCTTGGCCCAGACCACATTTTGCATTTTCTTAGAGAAAGAGTCCTCCAACTTTGCTGAGGCTTGCCTTCCCACGGTTGAGGTGAGTCTCCTGGAAGCAGAGATCATTAGAGAGCCCCGGAAGTGAGGGACACTCGCCTGGGCACGGATATTTGAGTGTCTGGTCACGTCTCTTGGTTCCTTGGGGCAGTTGGACCTGGCCAGGCCTCCTCCCTTGTGGCAAATGCTCACTCTCATGGGCCGTATCTCACAGAACTCATCTGAAGACTTGGAGTCGGGGTCGGAGTCAGAAGAGGGCCGCTGGGCATCCCTGCTGACCTTCACCCTGCTTTGGGTGCTGCTCTTCCCCCAGGCCTGGCCTCCCTTGGGCCCACAGGGGTGGACAGAAGCTGCAGAGTCCCGCTGCCCTCCCACATGGCTCGGGGCCCGTGCACTTCTCCTGCTGGGACCCAATTCTGCATCCGCCCACCTGGTGGACAGCTTGGCAGCACAGCTTTCTGGGGATGGGGATGGGGACTGGGATGAGTACCTGCGGGTGCCCTGGGCCTCCATGTTGGACCTCTGCTGCACTATGGACGCACATTCAATGTTGAGGTGGGGCATGAGGTCCAGGGTAGCGCCCTCTTCCTCATCTGCTGGGGAACGAGGCCGGCCTTCGAAGCCCCAAAGAACTCCCCTTTTCGCCACTATCAGTTCCTCCTTGGACTCTGAGGTGAGCTCAGAGAGGCTGTGGTCTGGGAGGTCGAGGTTGTGACCACCCTCGTGGTCTAAGACTACACCCTCACCTTCGCCGCTCCCGGGAGGCCCAAAATCAAGGGCCAGGACCCGTGCCCGCCGGGGTGCGGGGTTGGCGGGGCGGAACTCGGTGTGCTCTCCAGCCTCCAGGCCAAAATCGGTTCCCTGGGAGGAAATATCTCTCGGAGAGCTCATGCTGCCACACTAGGAGGCCAGTTTGAAGGGTAATGGCCGCCGTATCACAAAGGATACAGGTAGGCTTCTAGGCGTGAGGTCATCATGTGTGACCGAGGAGAGCGCCTCAAACCCCGCACAGCCTCGCGAGACTGGGATGCCAATGAGCCGCCTTCTCATTGTTTCTCCCTCAGCAACCCTCAGGCTTCTGGCCGGGTAGCCCCTCCAGGCCATATCCAATAGGGGCCACCTGCAGTAGTGTGTGGTTCCCCTGGGTGGCCTTGAGCTGGTGTCCTGGTGTCGGGGCGCTGGTCCCTCTTTTCCTGTCTCATTCCTCGGGGCAGGCGCCTGGGTTTTTTTGGGGTTTTTTTGTGTTTTTTTTTTTTTTTTTGGTACCGGGGATCGAACTCGGGTCCTTGCGCTGGCGCAGCAGGCGGCGAAACCACTGAACTAAATCCCCGGCCCAGGCCCCTGCTTTTTAATGAGCACCTCGCCTCTGAGCCTCAGTTCCCCATCAGTAATGCAGGGGAAATAAGACCACAAAGCTCAGGACCTTGTGAAGATTGAATGTAATGGTGGATATGAACCACCCAGCGCAGAAAAGATTTGTGCACCCTTTTCCTGCAGCAAGACCTCCGGCCCGACAGGAAGTCCATAGTCAGTGATCAGTGGTCTCTGCTTTTTCTGTCAAGGGCCACATAGCAGATGTTTCGCAATTTGCCGGCTGTGTGTGCGTGGCTGTGTGCCCGCGGCATTTATTGGCAGGCCAGAGTTTGCCCACCTTTCCCACACCCCATCCTACGTGCACGGGGAATCAGTTCAGAGAAGCGGGAATCCCCATAATCTTAGGCATCCCAAAAGGTGCCCACTGCCACTGATCCTGTAGATGCCAACTAAAATAATCAATATTCACATAGCAGGTTTGCAACAACAAAAGGACTTAACTATTCCAGGCGTGGGAGAGCTTACTGGTGCTTTTGACCCCTGCTGGGGGTGTACATATGGAGGGTTGCCATTTGGGGTGGGGGTGATTTGGCGGAATTCCATGGAACGCAAATCAGGCAACATTCACTATGTCCTGGCACTCTTCAAGCACTGGAGATACCCATTAACTCAGCCTCTCCACAGTTCCAGGTTTAATTAAGTACTATCACTACTGTTTCTAGCAGCAAGGAAACAGACTCAGGTGGAGTCACTGCTATGTACATCTTCTGGAAAAACAGTGGTAATCGTATTGTACGAGGACACATGCACACGGAGGTTGGTGAAAGAAGGGCACAATCCCTTCAGTAAAGCAATGCAAAGTGCCCCATGAATCCTGTAGATTAAAAGGAGACTGTCCAGAGGGACCCAGGAGGCTCTGTTAAGAGATTTGAAAAGCATTCTCATGACTGCCTACATGAAGTTGTAGAAGAGTGCATGGATTTGGGTGCACATTTGTAAATTTAAAAACTCAAACCAGTCCTATGGATTGAGCTTACGTATGGGTGTATATGAAAGTATGTTGTAAAGGGCCAGAATGGACATGCAAACAAGGCCTCACAGTGGTGGTGGGGTGCCCATTTTCTGCCATATTTTCTTTGAGACTATCGGTTTTCAGCTCCCCTGTATTAAGCAGTCCCAATATCTGGGGAGTGTCCCTTAGTTTGTATTAGGCACTGGAATACTAGAATTTTCCTTGCTTATCACTTAGTCCTACTTCAGCAACACTCCTTTCATTTCACACCTGCCTTCCTCACTTCCTCATTCATACTCATCTGTCTTTCCTTGCCTCTCAGTCCTGAATCCTCTTCTGGCTGATGTCCAGCAGAGGCCTGAAGTGTGTGAATGGCTCTTGCCAGGGGATGTCAAAACTCCAGTTTCTCTAGATCTGCACCTGAGATGGCTGACCTGCTGGGGAAGTTTACAGAGCAGGGTAGGTTTGGTGCACTACACATTTGTGATCATTCACATCCAGCAGGCCCTCCACAATCACTGCTTGTGTCTAGAAACCATTTTCTCCCACTCCTCAAAGTGATTTGCTGACATGCTGTACTATTTCAGATATGCCAATGGGGATCCTAAAAGGCATAGTGAAATCTCCTGTCCCCATCACCTGTTTTAAGAAGCATTACTGATCTGTCCAGTTGAAGCAGGCCATGTCCCTCTCCTCACTTCCACTGCCTTCCTCCTTCTCTATCTCATATGGAGATTCCTAAAACTTTCACAAGCTTCAGTCTCTTTATGCCTGCAACTCTCCTATCACCTTTCCCCCTGCATCCTATAGGTCTGAAATGGAGGCACAAATCTCTGCCTACCCCAGGAATCTTCTGTATCCAATGTTGGTTTTGTTGGTTTCCATCCATCCATCCCCATTTCTCCCCATCCCCATTTCAGCCTTTGAGGTTGTTCCAAACAGGGCTCCAACTTGCACCCTGCAGTGGGCTGAATCATCTCACCCATTAATTTCTTGAGGTAGGCTGGGATCCAGTTTCAGGAGTTCCACATAGTCTTCACCACCACAATAGCTCCTACTGTACAGACCAATGATCCAAGGTGGGAGTTAACCACTCTGATTGCCAAGTGTATCACTGGCAATGATCCACTTGGGGATGGGAGGAAGGACCAAGGCAGTTCTACTTGGCTCCATGTGGGCCATCTCTTCCTCAAAGCCTGTAAGAGTCACTCTTGCCAACAAATTTCTTCCATCTCCCCGAGTCCTTGCCATGTTCATTGCCATGATGTGAGGATGTACCCCTGCCACACACACACTCACACTCCGTAAAACTCACTTGTGCTGTCTTGTATTCTAGCCCCCTTGATCCAGTACTCTCAACATCCAATCCCAGGGCTATTCCGTGGCTCTTGCCAGTACAGGATGGGTCTTCCTTGCAACTTCCTTGGGGTATACTCCCTTTATTTGCTCAGGAGTCTCTACATTACCCAGTGAGATCTTGGGGAGGAGAAGGGGTGGGCCCAAGGGAGGAACCTGAGGCTTTATGGGAAGTGGACACTAGCGTCTATTAGCCCAGGGGTCCTGCTGGCTCCTGCTAGGGAAGCAAGTGTGCCCTGTGAGCTCCAAGGCTTCAGGGTATCTGGAGTCTGGGAAACCAGTGTCTTCAGTACATCCATCCATCCATCCCCATTTCTCCCCATCCCCATTTCAGCCTTTGAGGTTGTTCCAAACAAGGCTCCACCTTGCACCCTGCAGTGGGCTGAATCATCTCACCCATAAGATTGAGACCCTCCCCTGGGATGCTTCCTACGTAAATAAGGGTGAAACCTGGAACAATTGGGAGGTCACCTCATGCTAGAGATTATCTATGCCCCATGCAGAGCTCAGGATGGCATCCTCTTTGTCATTCTGTTGGTGAGTGAGCCAGTCCTGAAAGGCAGGTTACTTCCTTTTCTCAGACCATTCTCTGGACCACTCTTGGTATTTCAGGTCCTCCAAAAGTTTAGAGGCCAACAGGTGATTGGACATGAAAGATGGTGGTGTGTCAAGAAAGAGGAAGGGACAGAGGCAGGGGAAGGCAGAGAGAGTTGTCAGAGTGCTACACAGGCCCCGTACCTGTCAGAGACCCTGAAAGTAAAGGGAGGGTAGGATAGGGATGGCAGACAAAGTTTAGTTGCACCAGTTTCAGTTGGTGGGGCTGTTGTGAATGCCACAGCCTACAGATGCCAGTCAAAAGAAGCCTTGTCCCCAGGCAAGGCATCCCCAGCACTGACTGGGAGCTGCCCTGAGGAAGGCTGAGCTTGGGGAAAACTCAGAAGTGGGTCCACAGAAGTGGCAGCTGGGATGTGTCAGTCCACTTTGCTCCCTGCAACTGAAGATCTGTGGGACAAGTTTCCGTGGCCACTTTGGGGAGGCAGTGGTCAAGAAACCAGTGTTCCTGTTTTGCCTGAATAACTGGAGCAGGTTCAGGCAGGAAACAGAGGGTGGAGTTTGAAGTACTCAACCATGGTGGCAGAAAGGATGTGAAGATTATTCAGAGAAGAGACTTACTTCAATCACTGAGAGACCCAGAGAGACTGCTTCTTTGTATGAGAATGCTTCGAGGAAACAGCTGCAAGCTGAGACCTCTATGGTTATTTATTTGTAACTCAAGGACATGAGAACAAGGATGTAGAAGAAAAACATTTGCAACACTTGTATAGAAGTTTTGGTCAGAGGACAAGGAAAGAAATGGGATGGTTTGTTATGTGACACATGTCGACCTAGTTTAAACAAGCTGCCCCAATAGGGCAGGAGGAACACAATGGCCAAAGCAAACATCTCTGAGAATAATGAATAATTTGCTTTTAATTCTGCTGACTGTTGTCCTGCAGATCTGCTCTAAACTTTTAACCATGCATTCTGGAAACCTGGGGACTGTTGTTCCAAGATCTCTTCTCTTTTTTGATTTTGCTTTTGAGACAGGATCTCGCTATGTAGTTTAGGCTGGCCTTGAACTCACTATGCAGCCCAGGCTGGACTCAAACTCACAAGGATCCTTCTGCCTCAGACTCCCAAGTGCTGGGATTATAAGAGTGCACCTCCAGATTATAGGCGTGCATTGCCATGCCTAGCCCAAGGTCCCTTCCTCACCAAATTCACTTTGATCACTGCTTTGGCCAAAATCTCCCCACATTAGATGATATGCAGAATTCACTTGGAAATTTGCTTCTATGGCTCCAGAGAGGAGTCTGAGCTGGAGTTACAGGTCTAGGAGACATTGGTTCCCTCAGCCAGCTTTCAAGGATCTGGTTGTTTGTTTGTTTGTTTTTCCTGTAGTAGTGTTACCTGTCAGGCTTCCTGTGGTCGCCCTTCTGATCCCCTCCCTTCACCTAGGATGTGACCCTATGCTGAACGTGTCTTACTCATTCCCTTCCTTTCTTTCCAGTTAATTTCTACATTCATTCAGATGCCTAGCAATAGGCTCCAGGAGCATATTCCTGCCAGCATGGTACTTTTTGACCACACAGTATTATGTAAGTGAAGTTCCTGGATTTTGTTGTCCGTGGTAAACAAGTGTTTGTTGTCATCGATGCATTAGATTCCACTGAAGAAAGACCCAGTTTATTCTCATTATCATAGTCCTTATGTTTTATGAGGTCAGTGCAAAGGAGTGCATTGTCCAGTTTCAAAACATTTCTCCTTGGTG